TGAGACAGACATGTCCTGTGAGACAGTCACATGTCCTGTGAGACAGAGACAGTCTTCTGACGACCTTCCCTTCAAAGCTGATGCTCTGAACAAGGACAACGACCCACACAGGCGCTCCAGCATCTGGTCTGACAGAGGCACGCCGGCCCGGTTCTGACCCGGAGAAGAATGCAGTCAGAACTTTATTCACAGAATAATCAGGACAGGCTCACGTGAGTTTTCGTCTCTGATGTCTGAGATCATGAAACTGTAACTAAAGTCCTGCATGAGGTGAGTTTCTCTTCACAACACTTCACTCTGCCTCGGTTCGTCCTGAAACAATGAAAGTTAATGAGGCTGTTGGAGCAGAAAATGACTGGACGGGTACGTTATTATTATTATTATTACTATTATTACTATTATTATTTAAATTTTTACAACCATTTAATTTCTTTCTTTCTGTAGTAAAACGGTAAAAAAAAATTAAAAAAAAAGGCGCTGCAACCTGCAGCTTCACCACCAGAGGGCGACAAAACCACGAAGCTGCTCGCATGGCCTGGTTCAGAAATTATTCTTTTAAATAAAAGTTTGAAATGTTTTATTGTTTTTTTTTGTTTGTTTTTTTTATCTGTTTAACAAGACTTTTGGTACTCTATGGTTTTAGCCACAGTTCTGCTACTTTTAGCTTTTTGCTATTCTTTTGTTAATTTGAACTTTAAGCAAGTATTTTGTTTCTTTTAACTAGCATTCTACAGATTTTAGCTTTTAGCTAGTGTTCTGCTCCTTTTAGCTTGACCAGCTGAGTTTTAACCTCTGTTAGTTTTAGCTGTGGTTCGGCTCTCAGACTGTATTTTCTGGTCACATTTATTTTTTCTGTATTTTGAAGGGTTTAATCTGAAGTGTGTGTTCACACAGTCAGGATTATTAATCTGTTAACAGCTTCCACTCCTCGGGGTTTTCGGCTTCATGACAGGTTTTGGATCCTGGCTGCAGGGATTGGTTCTGGTCCAGTCTCAGGAGGGTCACTGACCTGGGTCACTGGAACCACGACTGCCACAACAAGTAGAGGGGCCACCCAGCCTGTCATCAGCTCACGGTTCAACAGCCTCTCTGATGGTATGGGGGTGCATTAGAGCCTCTGGCACAGGCAGATTACTCACCTGGACAAGGAGAAGGACGGGCTGATGTACCAGCTGCTGCCCAGCTGCGAACACTCGCGTCCTCTCGTGTCGTCAGACCCGCTGCTCAGCCTCTCGCTGGACGGGGCCCGCGTGGCGTCCGAGTCCCCCGTCACCGTGAAGATGGAGTCGGAGAAACTGGGCCGCTCGCCGTGCGCCAGCGGGGCGAAGCTGAGCTGCACGATCTGCCTGGCACTCTGGCACACCGGCCCGTGGATGGCGGGGGTCAGGGTCGGCAGGTCAAAGGTCAGCACGGTCTGGGTGCTGGAGGTCAGCAGCTCCTCGCTGTCCAGGCTGTTGTACGACGTCCCTTTGGCCCGGTGGGACTCCATGATGCTCTCAAAGTGGCGGCTGAACGTGTCCTCGGCGCCGGAGCGAGGACCGGAGACCAGGACGGGGGACTTCAGGGACGGGTTGTGGTTGTCGAAAAACGTCTCCGTGGGTCTGGACGAGGAGGACACAGCTGTGAGACAAAAACTTCTGTCTACAAACTTATGAATCATTGATGGTTCTGCTGATGAGCAGATGGAGAATGAGGTTACGAGATGCAGATTCAGAACCAGAACTGGGTCAGAGGAAAACCCAGTTTCTATCGCCTGATGTTGAGGAAGCCGGCGGGTGATCATGTTTTTCTGGGTCTGTGTATTCAGCTCATGCTTTAGAGCTGATCTGTGGTTTGTCAGACATCCTGGACGTTTGACTGTTCTCACCTCTGAACTTCAGCTACTGTTTTCAGATCTTATGCTTAGCTTAGCTTTTAGCTGCTGATTTGCTTATTTTAGTTTTAGTTTGTTTTGCTAATTTTAATCAATATCTAGTTTTCTTCATACAAGTTTTAATACTGGTTATAACTTTTAGCTACTGCTTTGATAATTGTAGCTTTTAGTTGTTGTTTAGCTTTATTTTAGTTTTTAGCAACTGTCTTGCTAAATTTAACTTTAGTTTCTGCTGTGTTAAATCTAACTTTTAGCTACTGATTTGTTAATTTTGGCTTTAAGGTATTGTGCTAGTTTTAAGTTGTAGCTACTCTTTTGCTGCTTTTATCTACTGTTTTGCTTGTTTTAGTCTTTAGCTTCTGCTTAATTACGTTTAGCATTTAGATACTATTTTGCTAAATCTAGCTGTAAGAAACTTTTACTTGTTTTAGCTATAAGGTAATGTTTTGTGGGTTTAAACCTTCAACTACACTTTTGCTGGGTTTAGCTATTAACTACAAGTTAGCTGATTCTAGCTTTTAGTTACTTTTTTGCTTGTTTAAGCTTTAGCTACTGTCTTGTTGGATTTAGCTTTGGCTACTATTTAGCTAAATTTCCCTTTAAACTACATTTTGGCTTGTTTTAGCTTTTAGTTACGCTTTTGCTGGGTTTAGTTTTAGCTCCTGTTCGGTTACAGTTTAGCTATATTTTGCTCCCGTTTCAACCAACTTTAGATTTTTGTTACTGTTTTGCATGTTTTAGCTTTTAGCTACTGTTCTGTCTCATTTTAGCCGGTTGTGATGGTTTTAGCTACAGTTCAGCTTGTTTTAGCTTGTCTTCGGCTCATTTGTCTGTCCTGTTTCAGCTTTAGTTTGGATTGTTTTAAGTTTCCCAGCAGATTTCAGCTTCTTTGTTTGCCTCTTCTTCTGTTTTGAAGTAAAAAGCTTAAGTTTCTAATTTTACTGTTTTCAGGCGAATGTTTGGGTTTCGGCTGTTCACCTCATCAGGTGCCCGAACACCTCGGGCTCCTCCTCCGCTGCGTGCTGCTGCTTCCTGCTGTCCCCCTGCATCCTCACACTGGCCCAGCTCACCATCTCCTCCTCTTCTTCCTCTGCATCATCTTCCTCCTCACTCCCCCCTCCTTTGTCCTCCCCCTCCTCCTCCGTCCTCCTCCTCAGAGGACTACTTCCTGTCCCGGAGTTGCCTTGAAAGCTGCGGTTGCTCCCGAACGCCGAGTCGGCCTCATCCTGCTGCTCGGCCAGCAGCACCTCGTCGATGTCCGTCTCGCGGTAGCAGCGGAGCGGGACGGCGTCCAGGTCGGTCTCCGAGTACTTCAGCGTCCATCGAATGATGCCGGTTTTGGGGGACGTCCCGGTGACAGCTGGGGGCGGAGTCACAAGCTCGACCTCCACGTGCCGCACCTCGTGATTGGCTGACAGCAGAGGCAGGGACGACGGTGGCGTGGGGGTGGGAGACTCACTGGAGTTACCACTAGGGGGCGCTGTGGATGTTTCCAAACAACCTGCAGAAGAAAAAAATTATGTGAGAAATGTTGAACAAATTAAACTTTTATATTTCATTATTTGCAGTCAAAATCGGATTCTTTGAATAAATATTAAAATAAAATATGGTTAAACGAAACAAGTCGCAGAGTTTTCTGCATCAGCGGCTAAAAACAAAACTACGCACGCGCTCCGTTTTTATAAAAAGGTGCAACTTACTTCTTGCTCCTCTGCCAGCGGCCTCCTCCGCGGGGGTCCCGAATAAAAACTCCCACTTGGCCCGAGCGATCTTCTGACAGTGCAGAGAGGGGACGGGAGCTGCACTCCCGCTGTCGGTCTGCAAAAAAAACCCACCCAGATAAAAACGAAAACACCAACCGTAACGATGTGGGTCCAAATGAGCTCAGCTTCAGAGGTCAAAGTTCAAAAATGCATAAGGAGGGTTAGCACTTAGCTAGGCTTTGGCTATGTTAGCTTTTACCTTGCCTTTTGTTACTTTTAACATTTAGCTTTTAGTTAGCCTTTTGCTTCTTTTAGCTCTTAGTCAACCATTTGCTACTTCAGCTTTTAGCCAGCATTTTGCTGATTTAGCTTTTAGCTAGACTTACGTTACTTTTAATTTTTAGCATTTAGCAACTAACCTGTTTAAACAAAGGTTGAATGAATTTAGCCAGCACTTTTTACTTTTAGTTCAGTTCACTTTAGCTACTTTTAGTTTGGATCTTGCTATTGCTACTTTATCTTTTAGCTACACGTTTGTTGTTTTACTTAAACTTTTGCTGCTTTAAACGGGACATTTGCTTCATCAGCTTTTAACTAACCTTTTGTTATTTTTAACTTTTTGCTTTTAGCTAGCATTTTCTAGTATAATTTTGTTGCCTTTTGGTATTATCTAGATTTCATAGTTCATCTTTTTAGCTAGCCTCTTTCTACTTTTAGCTTTTAGCTGAGCTTTTCAACTTTAGCTTTACTTCAAATTTTCTATTGTTAGCTTCTGTCAAGCTTTTGCTACATTTAACTAAACTTTTGCTGCTTTAGCTGGCCTTTTGCTACTTTTAATTTTAGCTAGCCATTTGTTACTTTTAACAGTTAGCTTTTAGCTAGCCTTTTTCATAGTTGTAGCATTTAGCTAGTCTTTTGCTACTGTTAGCTTTAACGTTTCTGTGCAGTTTCTTCAGCTCGTTTCAGTAAATTTCAGCTCTTAATGTTGAGACTGTTTTCTGAAGCCGTTACTCTGGTCGACACGTTCTTGTGAAATTGTTACCTGTCTGGTTTGCACCGGTCCGGGTCTCACCTGTATTCCTGAGGTTGCGGCTCCGGTCTCGTTGCTCTGGTGGCTGGACTGACTGGACTCTGGGGACATGCAGTCTCTGTCCCCCAAACTCCCTGTCACGCCGCTGGAGCTCCGCGAGGACGACCCGGCCATCGCCTCCAGTTCAGGAGCTTCTCCCGCTCTCCGCTGTCCTGAGTCACCCTGCCCTTCTTCCTCCTCCTCTTCCTCGTCAGAGTCCAGCGCCACAGGTCCGAGCAGGAGGATCTCCCTCCTCCTCTGCTCTGCCCGTTTCTGCTGAGCTGTGGGGCTGAGCGACCGCCGCCGTTTGCTGGACTGCTGGGTGGTGAAGTCCAGCCCAGGCTCTGTTTGGTTCCTCCACTGCTGCCTGGAGGTCCAACTGACCGGAGCCTCCTCAACGCTCTGGTTGATGAAGAGCCTGCGAGCCAGCTCTGTGCAGTCCTCCATCTCAGCACAGGTCAGGTCTCCGCTCCTGTCCAGGCCCGAGGACCAGGAGTCTCCGGTGTACTGCGGAGGCTGACGGCGGTGCAGGGTGGGGGAGTCTGGTGCCCGGAGCTCCATGTGGAAAAGCCTCGGGTCTCTGAGGGGAGAGCTGATCTCAGTGGGGGGGTGAGAAGGGCGGAGGACTCGTGAAGGGAGGGCGGGGGAAGTCGGAACGGTAGATAGGACCGAGCTCAGGTGTCTCTGACGGCTGATCTCGTGATGTGTGTCGTGATCCGTGCGGGAGGTTTCGGGCTGGTGAAAGTTCTCAGGTGCTGGCGTTGTTTGGTTGTTTAATGGGATGTTCATCTTCAGAGTTTGATTAAAGTTTTGTGCTTTTGGTTTGTCAGAGTTGGAGCTGCTTCGATGCTCCCCTGAAGCGTTGTGCGAAGAGGAACCTCTCGGCTGAGTGAGAACTGAAGTTGCCTCCTCTGCTAGCCTGGCTCCAGAGCTGTGAGCCGGAGATGAAGACTTGCTGTCACTCAACTGGTTTAACCCCATGGTACCATTATTGCTCAGTTGGTGGGTTGCTCCCAGCGGTGAAGAGTTTTGGTCAATGCTTTTTTGGGTGGCGGGACTTCCTGCCATTGCTTTTTCCTCTCCTTGAAAGTGAAGAGCGCTTTGAGGTCTCAACTGAGGAAAGGGTTTCAGAGGAACCTCGTAGACATCTTGACTGTTGCCTGTGAGGTGTCCAGGATTTAGTCGGACGTTCTGACGCTGAACAGGAGACCCGGCCCAGGACTGGCAGCGCGGCTGTTGGTTAAACCGCGAGGAAGCGGTGTTCTCGAGAGCGTGGGCCAGTTTGATCCTCAGTAAGGGGGAGCCAAACTCATCCACAGCCCTCTGAGTCGCCGCCCTGCCGATCAGATCCAAGTGTGGCTGTCGAAGTGCGGAGGAGAACGGCGTCTGCTGGTGACTCCCTGGAGACCTGAACGTCTGTTTGGGGCTGGAGCTGCACGATGAATCAGGACTGCCTAACCACACTGGGTCGCTGGCGCGTTTCTGAAAGCGGGAGCGGGCAGAGGTACGTGGGCTCTCCACCGTCTTCACGTTGGACTTCTCTACGTAACTGAAGCTGACCACAGATCGCGTCTCATCAGGAGGAGTGTGAGGGACACCAACTCTTTTAAAAGACAACGAAGGGCGGAGGGGCGAACCCCAACACCTGGAGATTTGAGGTGAGCTTTTGGTTTGTTGGAGCTGAAGGTTTACAACGTTTCGAGATGGAGACTGACTACATGCGCCATCCTGGAATGGAGAGGAAGCTGTGGACGTCTTTCCAATGGTTGACTCGCTCGTTAGCTGAGAGAGGAGTTCCGCAGGGCTGTCCTGAACGGAAACCCCCTGAGTTTCTTCGTACTTTCCATTTTGATCTGGGGCAGACCTCACTTCCACATAAAGATGAAGGACTTTTCCAGACTGGGACATGACCTCCTCTCAGCTTTAAATGATGACACAGAAACAGAAGTGGAGCAGAGAAACAGCCGGAGACAAAAGGTCCACTTTTTCTTGTTGAGCTGGTTTAGTTTTTCTGTCGCTGGTGGTTGTTGCCAGGTTGTTGTTTTTTTTTAGTCTTTCTTCTCCCTCGCAGAGAGTCTGTGTGCAGAGCTGAGATGCTCAGGTTCAACGGCCGGAGGACAAACTCGTCCGTGGGACGCCTTCATTAGCACCAGGGTCCTCATACCTGTGAGTGAAAGAGAAGGGAGCTGTCTTATGAAAAACGAAACCTGCAGCAGTTTATACTGACAGAGCTGCTAACAGCAGAGCGCAGTACCGACATATCAAGATTTCAGTTCCAGTGTGAGACTACTTCGAGAAAGATGCTGAGGAGAGAAGCAAGAACCTGTTCCCTCTTTCCTCCTTTAGGAAAAGTATTAAGTACTTCAGAAGTCCCTCTCTTTTGCAGAGGTTTATTCAAAAGTCAAATATTACATCCACAAGTCACTGTTTAAATCTTGGGTGGGACTCCTGTTCGTCTCTGGCGTTCGCCCAACGGCGCTCTCTCCAGTTCCCGTTAGGCGGTCACGCAGAAAGGCTTTCCAAGGATGCAGCTGACAACGGAGCTTGTTTTGTAAAAAATAAAGACTCGAGGCTGACAGACTCCGACTCTCGGCCAGCAGCGACAGATTGCCGTTGCCGTATGGTGGCGGTGGGAGGCGACGTGCACGTTGAAGTTAGTCCTCAGCACAAAGAACGTGAGCAACTCGGTACAAAGAAAAGGATCAACTCTGCCTCTTGTAAACCCAACTGTTGTTTCTGCCCTGACTTCAAATGGAGTGAATTTCAGTTCTGCTTCCTGACTGATTAGGGCTCGTTACAGCACCCCCCCACCCCCCCCATTGCATTTATTTCACTTTTTGCCTCTTTTGTTCACAAGCTGCCCCTAAAGAGGTCCATTAAGTTCCATTTAGAAGACGATAAAACGTGTCTCTTTGTTTACATCCACTCAGCAGTTTTATGTCTAAGTGCTTCTATCAGAGACTCGTCACTTTAGTGTTTGTCCAGTTCTTAGAGGCTTTATGAGTAAGAATGTTTAAAAAGCTGAAAGGAATAAAGCTGCATGGTGCTAAATGTCACAAATCAGGTCAGGGAATAACGTGTTATCAGATACAGATGATCTAAAAACAAGAGGGAAGATCGTGGCTCAGGATCAAATCATCCATTAAAAGAAGATGATGAATGTATTTCTTGTGAAGTCAGTTTTTTCCACTGGGCTGTAATTGTTGATAACTAGTTTGTGAACTCCAGAGTCCGAAAAGTCTCAAGACTCTTGCAGGGGTTCCTTTTTTTTTTTTTGTGCACGAGTTGCAGAGGCTTTTATTTTGTTCAACAATTTCTCTCTCAAATTAGTCCCAGAGTTGTTGCGTGTCTCAAACCAGTCT